ATATTGGGCATTTAAGGACTGAGTACTAAGCAGCCATTAATGTTTTTTAGAGAATATACAATAATATGGGAAACAGTTAGTTGAAAAATATAGTAGGATATACAAAATGCAGAATTTAATCTAATATTGTTTTACATATGAAAAAATGCCAAAAGGAAATTGATCAGCATGTCAACTGCAACTGCAGTTGTCTCTGGTGGATTACAGCTGATTTTATCCTTTATATTATTTTGATGAAGATAAAATTTGTTTAATGATTTTTTTGCTTATATTTTAATTTTTCTCACATTTTTTATTGGTGCTTTGTAGTTATTTTATAGTTAGTTTTATTGGTGCCTTATATAATGGTGGGGTTTGTTTTTACATATTTAAAATTCCTTTTCTAATCAGAAAATAAATTCCTTTTCTAATCAGAAAATAAAAACAAAAACCAAGTTATGATCTTTTTAAAGATGGAAATGGTTGTTACAAGTTTCCTTCAGCCAAATAGTGGTTCTCAAACTTAAATGTCTATTAGAATTACTTGGATAGTTTGTGGAAATAGATGGTTGCCTCTATTCTCACTCTTATTTAGTTTTGGTTGGGTTCAATAATTTGCATCTTTAACAAGTTACTGGGCTAAAAGATAGCAACAGAAAATGGCTACAAGATGTAGTGAAAATGATGTGGGTTTTGAGGTTAGTCTAGTTCTGATTCTGGCTCTGCCCTTGAAGGCTGTGTGGAGCAAAATTTGACACACTTTAACCTTGCTCAGACTGTTTACACATTGATAAAATAAAAGTAACACACATCTCATAGGTGTATTGCTAAAGTTAAATGATATGGTTAAATATCCAACACAGTGCCTGACTTAGTTAAGGTCCTTAAATCTTTGATGTCCTCTAAAGATGGTAGTACATCTTTTCCACAAATGAGTTTATGGTCACGTGTTTAGCCACGCTACAGATCAAATAATTTCCTCTAAACCTAACAAGACATACACATCCATCTTCTATGAATAAAATCTTCATTGTTCATCTATAAAACTGGGGATAGGGGCTGGGGCTGCAGCTCAGTGGCAGAGTGCTTGCCTAGCATGTGTGAGGCACTGGGTTCAATCTTCAGCACTATATAAAAACAAAACACACAAAAAGCATGCTGTTCATCTACAACTACCATTTTTTTTTTTTAAAGACAAAACCAAATCAAAACAAAACAAAAAACAAACTGGGGATAGCTGGGCACCGAAGTGCCTGTCTGTAATCCCAGTGATTTGGAAGGCTGAGGTAGGAGGATAACAAGTTCAAGGTTTGCCCCAGCAATTTAGCCAGGCTCTAAGCAACTTAGTGAGACCCTGTCTCAAAATAAAAAATAAAAAGGGCTGGGATGTGACTCAGTGATACAGAGACTCTCTTCAATAACCAACTCTCCCCTTTCAAAAAAAAAATTGGGGATAACAGGCCTGGTCTGGTGGCACATGCCTATAATCTCAGCTACTTGGGAGGATCACAAATTTGAGGCCAGCCTTGGCAACTTGGCAAGACCCTTTTTCAAAACAAATAAAATAATTGGGGATGTGGCATAGTGGTATAAGCACTCCTGGGTTCAATCTCTAGTATTGAAAAATAAAACAAAAGTGAGGATAACAGTATAAGAGTATCAAAGTAGATTTTTTTATATAATTTTTTTTATTAATTTTCTTGTGGTACTGATTGAACCCAGTGTTTCACATGTGCATGGCAAGTGCTCTATCACTGAGCCACAATCACAGCCTCAAAGTAGATTCTTAAGTAGTATAATAGTACTTTAATACTGCTTTACTATGGGTAGATAACAGTACCCCACTTTGCTAGGATGCAGCCATGAGGATTAAACAAGATAATATGTCAAGTGCTTTAGTAAAAGCAGTCACAGAGGTATGGAAGATACATAGAAAATGTCAGTTTCCTTTTCTACTCCCTTTAATTGGTAATTTAACTACAATATTTCCTAGACCTATTTCAAAAGCTCACCTGATGTAGAACACTTCAAATCAATTTTTCTACCTGAGATTGCTCTTTTGTGTCACAGATAATTTGAAATCAATTAATTTATATCAGTATTGGTAAGAGCACATTTAAACAATTGTAATAATAGATGTTCAAGGGCATAACTGTAGAAGACTGTTCCCTAACTTTGAAATACCTGATTGAGGTGATTATATGAAAAGTTGAATAAGAATGCAAAGCAGAGTTGGACAAATTATACAGAAAGAAGTGTTGTAGAAGTCTTGAGATTACAGAGGCTGATGTGTGATTAGTTTATACTCAAGAAATAGACAATTACTCAAGAGTTGTAAGAGAATTCTAGTTTTAAGGCTGAGAAAATAGATGGTGAGGTCTCCGTGATCACAGATATGGAGTGACAGAGGTTTCCTGTCTTCTGGTTCTATGCTACTTGTAGATAGGTTTTTTAACTATATTAATGTCTTTTAATCAGTTTTTATGTTTGCTCTTTCTAGGTAGAGAATTCAGTGTAGACAGCTAAGAGGTGAGCCCATGAAACCAAAACATGTGGGTTTGAATCCTGGCTTTGTCAGTTGTTAGCAAGTTCATATCTCTGCGCTTTATTTCCCTGTCTCTAAAATGAGTTTGAAAATAATACCCTCTTTCATAGGTTTGTTGTGAGGATTAAATAACCTAATATATATGAAGCAAGGAAATCTGTGGATTTGTCATTTTAATTGTTACTAGAATCTCAGAGAGAATGAAAGGCAAGGAATCTAGTGTTTTTGTTTTTTTTTAAACCACCTCACTCAGATTCTGATCAAAGCATCCAAAGCTACCTTAATCCTATTGGAAGTTTTTGTAGCTCTGAAGTGAGATTTGAGATCTATATAAACCTGACCTTGATCTGGTACTAGAAAAGTTGAGGAAAGTAAAAAATTGACATAGCAACAGGACCTAACAGATTTTCTTTTAAAAAAAGTTAGTCAAGACTAATAGATGAAAAAAGATGGGGGGTCAACAAGCTTTCCCATCTATTTTAAGATCTGTTCCAAACTTACCTTGACAAAAATTTAGCCTTTTAAGGAAGGTGCAGAGAACATGCCTCCGTGGGCTTGCTCTGAGGGAATGCATTAGCAGGTGCTGCATTTCACCCTGGAGGTGGCTGCATGAATTTGTGAACTGAGGTGGCAACACTGACTCTCCGGAAGAGAAGATGTTATCTCTACTCAGGGAGTTTAATTACAGTGGCACTACCTGAAACCAGAAGCCGCAGCAGCAGCAGCGGCCGCCACCACTAGCCCAGCCCAGCCCAGCTCAATATTCAGATCAAGGAAAGCAAGAACCATTTCCCCCCCTTGTGGGGCACCCTTCTCTATTCTCCTCAAATACCAGCTGAAGAAATTCTGGGACGAATAACAAGCCCAGAGGGCTGTCGCAGCATTAGAGTGAACAGGTGGAGGTGAGAAATAACCTATATTCACAGATCAGAAAAATTATGGATTTTTTTTGGGGGGGGGCGAGGAGAGGGCAGGGATTCGGTATCATCAGGAAATCTAGGGACAGAAGGGCACCAAGCGCCTTCCAAATCTTCTGCGTTCGACCGAGGCAAATCACACAATCCACCCCCGCCTTCGGCAAGCAGGCAACTTCAGGGCAAAATAAGCATCAGTGGAAGAATTTTGAAGGTCTGGCTAGGGATGGGGTTAGTGAGGATCAGGTAAACCCATAGCCTCAGCAAAGGTGGAAGAATTGAGGGTCACTGGGGGCTGATAAGCCCCGCAAACTTTGAGGTCGAAGCAACGGGCGCTCTTCCCCAGGATGTGCCCCGAACCCAGCCTTGAGCAGTCTGTCGGTTTGAATCTCGCCTGCAGATTTCCGGAGGAGGAGCTGACCAGGCAGGCGTTCTTTCAGCGCCTACCTCGGAGCTGACCGCTGAGCCGGCTCTATCACCTGGGAGCAATAGTACCTTTCGAACTCGGGGCGGGGCGAGGGGGGGGCGAGCACCGGCTTTCTCTTAGGGCTGGAGTTCCGATGTGGCATGAACCCACTGCTAGCACCATGTTCCCATCGCCCTCTCTCCTCCACCTTCTGCTCAGGTGACGTCTGGAAGCCCCGCAGGGCCAGCTTGGGGCTAAGCGGTTAAGCCGCGTCCTTCAGGTGTCAGCCTCCATCTGTTTGGAAACCACAACCCCCAGAGTCCCTTGTGCCAGGAGGCCTGGCCGCAAGTAAGATGGCTCCAGAAGAGTGGAACAAGCAGTAGCCGGGAAACCTAGCCCCTGGCAGTTTCTTTACCGGATGTGTTTAAATAACCGAATCCCTACTTCTGCACCACCCCACTAACCATCTTCAAGGCCGCGGAGGCCACGGTCTGCGCCACGCCCGCTCCTCCCAGGCGCATCCTGGGAGTTGTAGTCCAGCTGCCGGGCTACGCTGAGCTATCTTTCCCAGGGTGCCCTGCGGCAGGGCGATAGCAACGTTCTTTTTCAAGACTCTTTCTGCACTGAGACCCTCTTCTCCGGTTCTCTTCTCGTCATCGACTCCTTCTTGTCTGTCGCGACCGAGGAGCGGCCGTAGACGCGG